TGGTAAGATCAAACGCTTTGTAAGTTTGGGTGGAGGTGGTGAGAAGGTGCTAGAGTTCTACTGTAGTTGCCTGCTTACGGGAGTTTGGTAAAAACTTTTATTGTGGTGCGAATGGAGTAAAAAAAAATAAAATGCAAACCTAATCGAAACCCAGAGAATCCAAAGAATCTAAAATTGAACCCAAACAATCCTAAGCTGACTAAACAAATTTCTTATCTCAAAAATTGTGAAATTGTGCGTGAATTTCAAACCCCCAAAATCCTTCACACCAACCTGCTCTATACCCCCCCCCTCCTCTGAGAACACTCTCCCCTACCCCCAGAGCAGATATACAGAGGTCAGGTGTCTGCAAGAAGAGGTTGGAGTGTATTATGCTTTCTAATCCTACGCACCTCTCTACTTCATACCCCCGAGTGTACCCCCTCCCCTTCCCCCAGAGCAGAGGTACAGAGGTGTCCACAAGATAAAGCTCGAGTGTATTACGCTTGCTAAGTTTATAATTTTACTTCTGACAATGAAACATCGAAAAATCTCCCCAAAAACTATTTACGGATGTCAGCTGCATGAGATAAATATTGCATTTAATTTGGGTTACATGTACATCACTGTAAGTTTTTCACTGTGTCATTATTCCCTCAACAGTGCACCTTAGCGCGGTTCTGTGTGTATGTATGTCTGTTTTTTGTAGTAAATTATCTCACGGTGCATTTGCTTACTGGCCTTCTTTATTTGTTCTTTCCTTTACCTCAGGAAATAACCAAAGGACCTTCAGCAATGGATTGTCATAGTTTCATGGAGGTAATGAACCAGTCAATTTCAAAACCGCTTATGTCCCCCCGGTAAACCCCCCCCCGCCGGCATTTATATATAAGCCTTGGCTAATTAAAAGCCTCTTTTTAAATGTGTGAAGGATAGATTGAAAAACGAAAGCCAAATTACCAATTCGTCTAATCTTTGTTTCAATTAGTAGGCTGAATATAATCGGACGTCTGGGTGAGTGTGGTCCTGAATAAGACTGTTGGCAACAGGGACTGACCTGACAGACCTTTCGACAACCTCACGGGAAGTCATCCTCAGAGTTAAAGTGGTTTGTGAAGTTAAGATTTGGTACCACTGCCTATTGTCAGTCAAAACAACTACACTCACCCGGACGATTTTCTGAAATCTAGCTGTGAGAAAACGGCCTTTAAGGAAATATTTGAAAGTGGCAGAATGCCATTCAGTAATTGAGAACGAATAATAATTAAATTCTGGGCTTTTTTTTCCTACAGCATACGTTCCAGATTCCAGGTTCTTTTCCAAGGAAGTGGATCAGGGATTTACGTAAAGCTGCTGCAGAGAAAATAACAAGAGAGCATAATGAAAGAGAACAGAGGAGAACAAAGTGATGGCCTTATGATGCGCATAGTTGTAGGGCGCTGCCAATTAAAGTATCCGCAAGTTTTGCACTGAATTATTACATAACAGACGAATCTTAATCGGAAACATTTGTTGTTCTGCCCAGATTGGTTCACGTAGCGTAGAATGCCGGGCTAGTTCTGCGAAAGCCCCGTTCATTTTACGTGCCCGAAGTCGAATTTATGTGAAAACCTAAATTGACCATGTTATTTCAGTGTAACACTTGCTTTTTAGCGTGAAATAGGGCCCTTAGTAATCAGTGCCTCCGGGTGCTATCGGACAATATTTCGGATTGAAATACCAAACGTTCCTTGTATCAGATGGAACGGTTTCTTTCACGGCTGTTTCATTTACTCCAAAATTAGAGAAATGAATAAAATGAAGAAAGGTTAGGCAAACTCAAATTTTCGAAAATTTCATCCCGCAAATTCCGTTTTTTCTTTTTCATATTTTTGCTCCCCAATTTCCCGGTATTTTCTTTTGAACAGTTCTCGTTTGCCAAAAGTCAAGCAGTTCTCTTATTTCTAAGAAAGTTCCAGGGAAATTACGGTATTATTATATTATTCTCATGTCAAAATTTCGGTAGGCCATCCCAATTAAATGTTTCGTTTCCCATCGCCCTCCCTCTCGTGAAGGTGGGTCGGTCGGTCGGGCAAAAAAAAAAGAATGAACAAATGATTGCATATTAAATCTCACGTTTAGTCTGCAAGATATAATCAGATGGTAAAAGACGTATATTAACAGGACTATCAAATGTCTAAAAAAGCTACAAAAACGAAGTATCGATAATAATTTAAGACAATTGGTGTTAATAAGACAAGATGGTGTGCTTGTAAATTAAAGTACTTGCTTCTTTACAAGTGATTCTGGATTTTTTTTTTACTTTTCCAAAAAAATTGGTCGGTCGGGCGATGGGAAACGAAACATTTTATTGGGATGGCCTTACAGAAAAATCATTTTCTTTTGTGTCTGTGTGTGACTGATCATTGTTTTCAAACACACCATTGAAGAATCAACAAAAAAGAAAACTGGGGATCTAGTATGGCTGTGGCAATTTTTTTTGTGTTTTATAGTTTTTATTTTGGTTTTTAACAATATATTGTAAATGTTTTGTACATAATTTTTTGAGACGAAAGTTTACATGATGATAGGAAACATTTCTATTTGAATGGAGATAACATATTCTTATTTAATGGAGTTTGCTAATTTTCAGGTTAATTGAAAATAATTTGTTTTGTTCAGTTTTGTTCAACAAGGAAAATTATGTTTTTTGCACGTTGTCAAGAATTTAGAAATTCACACAAGCTGTCGAATTGTATTTGAACGAATTTTCAGGACTAAAGAATTTGAAAAAGAATTTGGGCAAGTGTGTTTTATTTTATCTCTTATATAAATGTGATATCCGTCAATGTCGTTTTAAAGAGAACATTTTGCAACGAAACCCACAGATAAACTACGGTCGACTCGACTCCCGATAACTCGAACCTTCTAGAGAAATCGAAAAAGGTGTTCGAGTTATCGGGAGTTCAAAGAAAATGGGATGGGGAATAAATGAAAGTACCATGCACACTTCAAAACTTGATAAATGCACAGTGCTGGACACTGTATTTAAACTGGACTGACAGAAAAGTAAAGACAAAGAATACATGGTTAAATTAATTTCAGTGTTTCGGACTGCAGTGCACTTTTATCGACTTGTCAGGCGCTTAAAGCATGGTTCGAGTTATCGAAGGGAAACAAAAATTACTTCGAGTTTGCGGGAGGTTCGAGTTGTCGAGGGTTCGAGATACGGAGGGTAAAATTATTATAGTAAATGTATGAAGGAAATCCAGGGAAAATCGATTTTGGTTCGAGTTAGCGCGAGGTTCGAGTTATGTGTAGTCGACTTTAGCCAACAAGATAGCCTGTTCACAGACCCTTTATTTTCTCATTGTAGATCGTCGAGCGCGCGGGAGAAAGCGTAAGGGGGTGGGGGTGGGGTAAAACATCTGTGGACAGGCTACGAACAAGACAGGCCTCAGTCCGAGACTCTCCGGGCCTATTCGGGAGGACATTTCAGTGGAAATGTTAGCAGTTATTCCGGCTGTATGTAAACCCGGCAGATTTCACGAGGAGATCTATGCAGAAATCGTAGTAAGGATTCCGGCCGGTAATTATGGCGGGTATTCCTTGGCAAATAGGGCAGCAATCCCAACAAGGCACTCAGCGGGATATGGCTGAGAGCGCGGTTTAAGAATGGGGCCTTTTTAGAGAGTTCTTAGCATTCGTAAATTACGCCTCTCCCCCATAAAGAGTAATCCGGGAGAGAAATTACTGGGAACACAACAATTTAGGCATCTTAAAATGGATCCATAAAATGCAGTCTTTTGTAAGTCAGTGGTACCAAGCGCTTTGAGAAATGGTGGTGTGGGGCCTGGGCAGCTGACGGGACTTCACGCTCGCGACTGTTTTCAAAGACTACAAAAGCACACCCCAACCTTGTTCCCAGGGTCTTCTCGCTGCAGCCATATTGGAAAACGAGAAGACCCTGGGGACAAGGTTAAGCACACCCCTGGGACTTTCCACTCGTGGGGAAAATGACTGTAAAAGCCGCGAGAAGAATGGATGTGAGTCAAGACCCTCGCCGCCATAAGCACTCTCACAGTCGTATCCTACCAGCCAGCAGGCTAGAATTTGTGAGGGTCAAACAACGTCTATATGACTCTGTTTAACCTTCTTGGTAACGCGTGTTAATTTTTCCTGTTCTTTTCCGTTTTGCGAGCATACCCACTCTGACCACCGTAAATGACAGTATCAATTATATTTTGATTTAACTAACACCACTTAGAATCTTAAAAACGTAATATAAATACCTACGGGTCTGCATTGTATATGGAAACTATTTATACTGCCAAATTGACCTTGCAGTTAGATAAATTACTTGAAAAAATTGTGCCTATATATAAAATATTCAACTTAGGACTGGTCTCCTATGGTGTTAAATAATAGTAGGAACTGGTGTTTATAACAAAGATCGGGTTAAATTACCGAATGAATTAAAAGATAAAAATTACAGTAATGTTAAAAATGTGTTTAAGTTCGACTTTCAAATTTACCATCTACTCTTGTACCCAGGACTTACAAGGCCGAAGGAAAGGGAGATCTCACTTTTGACAGAGTGAGATCTGGGTAATTCACCCTCCACGGAGAAAGGTTTACCCGCCTTCAACCATTTCCTTATCACTGGGTTCTTAATCAGTACTTCAACGTGAGGGAAGTTGGTGGTAAAACTCGCACTTTCTGAGAAAAGGCCTGATTTAGTATGAGTCAAAGCGGTCTTTGATAAAAGGCTTAACTTGTACCTTTTATCACTTCCTAGCCTTGTATAATCAATCCTAACCTTCCAACAACTTCGCACTGAAGTTAAGCACCTAAAAAAAACACCTATACCTACATCTTTGTCAATTCGTGCTCAATGAGGAGGAGATTTTTCTCAGAGCAAATTCTAGTAAATTCCTATCCACATATATACTGCGACATCAAGACGCCTCAATCTCGAGGCTAAGGGAAACAAACTATACGTTGATCGAGATCAGTCTTGAGAAGCGAGCTCCGGGTTGTCAGCCCAAAACGCTCACCAGTAGGTGATAGCCTTTACAAATAACAGTAACACGTAAATGGTTCATTCTTGCAGGCGTCTTATTCCTCAAACAAAGATTGGCGATGCTGTAAATGAAACTCTCGGTCTTTGAAATTCATGAAGCTCAAAAATAATCAGCTGAGGAAAACAAAACAGAAAATATGCCAATTAGAAAACTGTAGTTCTGTTCTCCTGTATAGCCTGCATAGCAAGCGTTTCCGCGCAAGTTGGGCGAGAAACTTGGGACCAGAGCAAAAGATAGAAATTTTGCTCTCGCTACAACTTTTGCAAAGGCGATCTCCCGTAATAACAACAAAGGTATGTGCTTAATAAATCCATAAACAGACCGGTTGTTTTCCAAACTTCTCAAGATATTTTAGGGGGAATGTCGATAATTTTATGGCTGAGATCAGAGGTTTAAAACACCTACCTCATTTTCGCCTTTCCGAAGCCATGGCGCTGGTACATAGAGTGTCTTCTGAGGGCCCCTTTTCCAATATCTTCCCAGGTTATGCCCATTGATAAAGCACACACCTTTGGTCCAGCCCTTCATGCGCAGAAAAGTGTCTTTAGGGTCATCATCTATTATGAACGTGGTGCGATATAAAGTTGGGCCTCTCTCTGGTTTATTTGACAATGCACTCCAGCGGCCTTGTTTCTTTATTCTGTTGAACAGGCACCAAAAATTGAGACTTTTACTTCATGATTACAATCACGAGGTTGGGTCAATCACCAGGCGCGCGGTGTGCCCGCTTGGTGGTGGACAAAACACTTTCCCAGTCCATGGACCACCTCATGGACTACCCATATAAGTGGACTATCCTAAAATCGACAAGCCGCGCGCCACCACCGTTGTTAGAATTAAGGAAGATATAAGCCCTACTTCCTCATACGTCAAGATTATCAAATCCATAATTATCCTCTCCTCTTAAAGGCTTAATCAAAAGAAACGATGAGCTAATACCAGGGAGCTTTAGTATCGACGACGGCGAAGGCAGGGGAATGTCACTTTAAAAATGAGTTCGAGTTTTATCAGACTTTGTCGCGTTCCAGTTCGTTGAAAATGTCAATTGTAGGCGAATTTCCCCGGAGTTGATTTCTTGGGGACCGCATTCAAGTTTAGATAGAGAAAAAAATGCGTAGTGATGGCAAAGAATGTACAAAAAATCATGATGCACGTGAAAAACGGTTTGTTTTGCTTACTAAACCCCTTGCTTTGTTTGACGTTCCCGTAGCCGCAGCAGTCGTCATTAGTGAGTTTACGCAACAGGACGGCAGCGGGACGGCAGCGGGACGGCAAAACGCTTGTGTGTGACAAACGTGACATTGCTATTACTTGCGAGTTTTGTCGTGAACTTCAGTTAACATTTTTGTTTTCTGGTCTTTAAAAAAAGATCCGTTTAAAGGAAAGGGAACTTTGGCGAAAGGTTATTTCAAACAAAATTATTGGCACACACGGTTCATGCCGTCTTCGTTCCGCTCTCGTTATGTTGCGTAAGTTCACCATTGCTAAAGCTCCCTAATCTCAACTAGTGGAGACGGGCTCAGCTAATCACAACAGTGAAGAATTGAACCCAGGCCGACTGCGTTGAAATCAAGCGCCTGCACACCACACCCACTTAACCAAGCTGACTTCTTTGGATAAGTCGTGTGACGCACAATTCAAAAGATAGGGTCGATCGATGTTAAGTTGAAATTACTCTGCAAGATAATGGACTCATAACCCAATACTTTGAATACACCGGTTACCTCGATAACATATCTTCCTTGAAATCCAGTGAAAAAATCCTCCATAAGTGATTCGTATCACTTTGGCCATCTATCTCCACTTTGCCATTTATTCCTTATTGCAAAAAAAATAAATAAAATAAATAAATGTAAGTTGAATATGATGAAGGAATAAGATGGATAGCCTGAGGAAACAGCCCACACGTCTCGACGCCACCACTGGCTCCCTGACGTCCGAGGAACGACCGATCTGTGTACATCTCCCACGCGGCACGACCAATAAGTAGTACTACCCAGATATGGGGAGTGTGACACGTCATCGTTTCTTAGACCTCATTTCGCCGACAAACCAATGCTGGAGTCGCGAAATATCGGCTGTTTTCTGAGCTAACTAATAAAGGATAATATCATCCCTAATATACTACTTACATCCAGAGATATTGGAATTTAACTATATTTAGTCACACACTGGAAACCAGATTTGTCAAAACTCAACAGGAAATGAAAGTTTGTTCAGATTATTGGGAAGTTTCAGAAATCGGGATTCTACTGTTCTGACAATAATGCTGGGTTCACCTTTTCGTAGTTTCATTAAATTCCACCCAATATTTGTGCGACCCATATTTTCAACTAGAATCTCCAGCTTGCAAGGAGTATTTACCACCGACGCCAGCTTCTCGTCCACTTGGACCTTAACAATCATCTCTTCCTCCAAACTTGCATCATACGTATGAATGGAAAGAGAGTCTAACAAC